ATTATTTTTTAAACATCGGAAAGACACTAATTATTAAAATAACTGCAAAGAAAAAATATTTAAATCATATTTAAAAGAAGTAAATTTTGTAATGCACGAATTCGGTTTATCTTCTGATGAGCTTCGAAATGCATTTAAAACAATACAATCAAAGAAGAGCCCAGGCCTTAATGACATAAGCTCTCAGGTGGTTAAAAACTTTTATGATGTTATTGAATATCTCCTACTGTATATCTACCGCTTACCTACCGCGTACGTGTCTACTGTATATCTTACGGTGTCACGGTAAGGAAGGAGGCGTAAACTTCCCAGTTAAAATGCACTTTCACGGTGCTCTGTGAAAAGACCGTTGGGTCTTCTTAGGACACCTAAATAACAAAATAAAATATCTTTAATCTCTCGTTAAAAAGTGGAGTTTTTCTCTAAAGATATAAAATTAGCACGTGTAGTTCCAATATTCAAATACGGAGATAACTTAACTTTATTAAACTATATCTCCATACTTTCATGCTCCTTGAAAGTACTAGAGCGCATAATGTACATAATAAACATATTTTGAGTTATTTTATTAATTAGTATCTCTCCGATGTTTACATACCTCCAAAATCACAATATCTTTTTTAACAACCAACTTGGATTTAAAAAAAACCATTCAACTGAACATACAGTTATAACGTAAATTCAAAAATACAAAAATCAATATACACTTGAAGTATTTATCGATTTGTAAAGGCTTTTGATACAGTGGATCACGAGATCCTTCTATACAAACTTAGTAATTATGGTATAAAAGATAAAGATTTAAATTGGTTTTGTTGCTAATCTAAACAATCGGAAACAAGCTTTATATTACATTAAAACTTACACTTTCCTTGAAACCATTACTTGTTGCGTTCCTCAGGAAAATTGCGTTCCTCATTTTAGGTTCTTTGCTTTTTCTTATCTGTATTAAGGATATATTATATCTTTTTATATACTGAACTTTTTTATTTTTGTAGATGACACCCAAACTTTCTACACCCACTCAAATATTAATTCTATTTTTAACATATTATATCAACAGCTTAAAGAACTAAGCAACTTGTTGAAGGCTAACAAACTTTCCTTGAACATTGAAAAAAGCTAATATATTTTTTTCGCAAAACCATTAAAGTCAGTCACATTACCATTAAAACTTCCAGATATTTTAGTTGACAAAATAAAATTAAAAAGAGTATTTTCTGTGAAGTTTCAAAGAGTAATATTATTTGAACTAGGTGGAAAGAGCATATCAAGTTATTAGAAAATAAATAACTAAAGTAAATAAATAAAATATCTAAAAGCATTGGGATTATGCATAAAACTAAGTATATTTAAAATAAAGTATGTCTAAAAAGTTTATATTTTGCATTTATTCATAGCTACATTAGCTACTGTAATGTTGACTGGGCAAGTATTTACCAATCAAAACTAGCTTTAGTCTGTAAAAAACAAAAGCAAGTATGCCCCATATTCACAAATGGTTATGTCAGTACTAAACAAATAATGAAAGAACTGAAAGTTTTTAACGTTTACAAAAAAAACATCTACAGCATCCTTCAGTTTATGTTTAAATTAAAAAATAATTTGGTCCCAAAAATATTCTATAATTACTTCCAACTTATTGATTATAAATACGAAACAAAACGTTCTATACAGAATTACTTTAAATATAAAACAAAACATTTTATGCGGAACTATTTCCAAAAATGTCTTTGAGACAATCCAGATTCTCAATACCTAGAAGGGGACCACAATTGAGAAACTCATTTCTCGCGAATTATGTTAAAACGACTTAACATTTAAAATGCATTGTTAAGCAACAGTTACTTGACCTCAACATTACTGACACAATCTCTTATTTTGAAACTTTTACATATCTCTAAATTTTTTTCATTGACACAATAGCTGGAAATGTTTATGGTTATATTTATAAAAGTGCATATAATTGTATATATATTTATAAAGATAAATTTACTTGGCTAGTGTAATTATACGAGTTTATTTGTTTTTATATATTTATATATATATATTTATATTTATGAGCTACAAATATCTTCCTGGTGGGAAATCGGCTAGCGAATAGCTAGCTATAATCGTAACGATAAAGACAGCGATTTGGTCACGAGGATCGCGAGCTTTTTTAAGTTAGCGAAAAGCTTTCAATAAAGTAAAGTTAAAGACAGACATTTGGTTAAGAGGAAGTTTAATAATCGAAAGACTCACTAGCTATTGTAGCTAGCGTCATATCGTAATAAAGTCGTTGTCTAAAAAATATTAGAAAAAATGTAGATATTTTGTAGCTAGCTATAAAGCTACGATATGTAGCTAGCGACACATTGCTACAAAATCGCAATGTTTAAAGTTCGATTATCCTCATAATTATAATTGACTCAACACTAAAAATCGAATTTTTAAAGATATTAAAGACATTAGTAAATAATAAAATAGGAGAAAAAAAAATCTCTAGAAAATCGCTATA